GGACCTGCTGCCCCTGACAGGAGCCTCCGCCGCTTCGCCTCTTGCCAAGATGGCGGCCCCAAGCCACGTCTCCAACCGGAAGCGGCGCGGGTCAAAGGGCGGGGGGCGGGGCCGGCAGGCACCTCCTGGGTACCAGCAGGCTGCGTCCTCCGTTAGCCCAGCACTCGCAGGGAGTTTTGGCTGGAGTCCTGCAGCATCGTCATCCTTTTGTCCTGTCTTTGTGTTCACCTGCGTTTACTTGGTGTCTCTGCTGACAGTTCATAAAGCCATTCCATGGAATACATAAAACAGTCCGTGTGCGTGAGGGACTAGTATCCAGAATACATAAAGAATGTTTAGAACCCTACAATAAAGCCCGCATGGGGACCCCTCACCTGTAATCCCAGCTCTCAGGAGTCTGAGGAGGAAGATCAAAAGTTGAAGTCCAGCCGCCTAAGTGCCAGTATTGAGTTAAAGGTCAACTTGGTATACGCTGAGAGACGCCCCTCTCCCCCCAAAAAATCAAAATAAAACCATCTAGGGACAGCAAGATGGATCAATCCTTAAGCCTAACAACCTGAGGTCCACCTCTGGGACCTACATGCATGGTGGAAAGTTGTCCTCCAACCTCCGAAGATGTGCGGTAGTGTGCCCGCACTTGCACCCTCACACACACACATCGCGCGCATATACATAAACAACAATAGTAAAGCTTTTTTGTTTTTTGTTTTTTCGTGGGTGGGGGGGGCGGGGCAGACAAGGTTTCTCTGTGTGGCCCTGGCTGTCCTGAAATTCTCTGTAGACCAGGCTGCCCAGCTAACAGTAACTTTTTTAAAAGAAAAAAAGGAATAAAATACTGACATATGCTACAACCCTATTAACCTTGAAAACAGGTGAAAAAAAGCCAGATTGAAAGGCCACTATATGCAGTGTCCAAAACCAGGCAAATCCATAAAAGTTGAAAGTATCTAATCGGTTTCATGGAGTTCCAGAAGACTAGGAAGTGACCGCTAGTGCATGAGCAGCTTATATTTGGAGTATAAGTATTCTGGAATTAGACAGAAGCAAATATCCTAAAAGCCACTGAACTGTATACTTTATTTTTAATATATATATTATATATATTTAATTATATATATTAATATATATATATATATATATATATATATATTTGTTTTTTGAGACAAGGTTTCTCTTTGTTACAGCTCTAGCTGTCCTGGAACTCACTTTGTAGACCAGGCTGGCCTTGAGCTCACAGAGATCTGCCTGCCTTTGCTTCCCAAAGGCTGGGATTAAAGGCATGTGCCACCACCACTCAGCTTTATTTTGTTTTTAAATGATGTGTATGTGTGTCTATGTACAAGTATGTGCCTATGAATGCAGGGCTGCCTGATATGGGTGCTGGGAAATGAATTGGGGTCCTCTGGAAGATTTATTTATTTATTTATTATGTATAGTGTTCTGCGTGCATGTATGTCTGCAGTCCAGAAGAGGGCACCAGATCTCATTATAGATGGTTGTGAGCCACCATGTGGTTGCTGGGAATTGAGCTCAGGACCTCTAGGAAGAGCAGCCAGTGAGTGCTCTTAACCTCTGAGCCATCTCTGCAACACATACTCTTAACTGCTGAGCCATCTCTCTAGTTCTGAATTGTATACTTCAAACGGTGAGTTTTGTGTTTTGTGTTGGGTCCTGAGAGCTGGCTCGGCAGTTAAGGGCCTGTATTGCTCTTGCAGAAGGCCGATTTGTCAGGTTTGGTTGCCCCACCCACCAGCCCTCAAAAGGGAAAGAAAAGAAAATGTATGTTCACAAGTATCCTTGGTAAGGAGAGCCTTAGAGGCCCTATAACATGAGTTAAAGCGGAGCAGGAATCAGACTGCCCTGTGTCTGACCCCTTCCCAGTGCCAACTGAGTGACTGGCTAAGTCACTGTACCTCTCTAAGTGTCAGTTACTCCTCTCTGAACTGTGGTAACACTTATTTCATACATTTGTTAAGTTAGATAATATAAAATAAATTAGACTTGCGTGCCTTTAAATTAAACTATGTCTTCTGCCGCAGTAATTTCTCAACAATATGTACTTATTAGTATGGACAATAAACATGTCACAAAAGTAAAACAAAAAAATTGCAATTCAAGGTTTTTTTTTTTTTTTTTTTTTGAGACCTGGTTGACCTAGACAGAACTCACTATGTAGATGAGGCTGGCCTCAAACTCACAGAAATATATTTGCCAGCCTTTGTATCCTTAGTGTTAAGATTACAGGCAATCTCATTTTTAACTTGAAGTAGCAAAAGAAGTGTGTGCTAGTTAGTAGCCAAGAAGTAGAATCAATCTGTGTCCATTAACTGAATGGATGGATGAAGTAAAATATTATATGTGCGCTCGCAAACACACACACACACACACACACACACACACACACACACACACACTTGAGATAAACAATCTACAACAAATAGCATGCACAGAACTAGAGAATAGTCTGTGAAAAAAAAAAGTTTTTTTTTTTCCAGACAGGCTTTCTCTGTGTAATACTGACTATTCTGGAACTCACTCTATAAGTCAGGCTGGTCTTGAACTTAGAGATCCACCTTCTTCTACCTCCTGAGTGCTGGGATTAAAGGTATGCACCACCACTCCCGGAACATTCTATGAACTTAAAAAAAAAAAAGTCAGACACAAGGCCAGGTATGGTGACACACACTTGTGATCTCAGCACTTGGGAGGTGGAGGCAGGAGAATCAAGAGTTTAAAGTCTGAGCCGGAGAGATGGCTCAGCAGTTTAAGAGAACAGGTTGCTCTTTCCAGAGGACTGGGATTCAATTCCCAGAAACCACATGGCAGTTCACAACCTTCTGTAATTCCAGTTCCAAAAGCACTGATGCCCTTTTCTTGACTCTGAGGGTAGCAGGTATGCAAGTGGTACATAAACACACATACAGGTAAACACACCCACACATATATACAAGTAAATAAATATATATTTTAAAAATTAGAAAGGCACTCAGAAATAGAAAATAAAAGTAAAAACAAATGCATGTTTGTTTTTTAAGAAGAAAGAAATATAATTTGCTGTTCTGTTGCACAGGAAGATTGACTATAAAAAACACAATATAGCTGGGCGGTGGTGGCAAATGCTTTTAATCCTAGCACTCAGGAGGCAGAGCCAGGCCAATCTCTGTGAGTTTGAGGCCAGCCTGGTCTACAAAGAGATCCAGAACAGGCACCAAAACTACACAGAAAAATCCTGTCTTGAAAAACCAAACAAAAACGAAAAAACAAAACAAAAAAAAAACCCCACAACAACCACAATATAGTTTAGTGTGTGTATATACATATATATATATATATATATATATATGAAAAAGATAGAAGGAAGAACCCTGGATTTTTTTTTTAACCACAAAGAAATGAGAACTGACCAGGTGTGGTGCACTGGGGAGGTGTTGGCAGGCAGATCTCTGAGCTCAAGGCCAGCCTGATCTACATAGTGAATTCCAGAACAGTCAGGGCTACAGGGAGAAACCCTGTCTCAAAAAAACTAACAAATGGGCTGGAGAGATGGCTTAGTGGTTAAGAGCACCGACTGCTCTTCCAGAGGACCTGGGTTCAGTCCCTAGCACCCACATGGCAGCTCATAGCTGTAACTCCAGTTCCAGGGGATCTGACACCCTCACACAGACATACATGCAGGCAAAACACCAATGCACATAAAATTATATATATAAAAAAACCAACAAACTGAAAGAAATAAGAACTGTTGGTGGCACACACATGGAATAGCAACATTGGAGAAGCAAAAGCAGGACAATTATGAGTTCAAGGCCAGCCTTGTCTATACAGTGAGTTCCAGCCCAGCCAGAGTTGCATCTTGAGCCCTTGTCTCAAATAAGGAAAAAAAAATGGTTGAGGACTAGAAATTATATGATTTGAACATTCTGCAATGTACACATGTGTGGAAACAACACACATGTCCTATAAATCTGTGCAAGTTTTGAGTATCAATCTTTTTTTTAAAATAAGTGTGTCTTATTTTCTCATCTCCCCAGTTACTCCCCCTCGCCCCCCCACCCAGTTTTCTTTTTATTTATTTAGGCAAGGTTCCCCTGTGTGGCCCAGGCTAACCCTAACCTGGAGGTCTTGTCTCAGTCTCCTGAGTTTGGATTGCAGGTATGTGCAGGTCTGAACACTGTCGTCGTCACACACCCCCCCCGTCCCCGCCCCCCTTTGAGGTTTTCGAGGTAGGTTTGCTCTCTGTATAGTCCTTGTTGTCCTGAAACTCGTTTTGTAGATCAGGCTGGTCTCGGAGATCCGAGTGCCTCTGCCTTCCTAGCGCTGGGATTCCACCACTGCTCAGCAAAATAAAGTGTTTTCACTTTTATTTTTATTTATTTATTTTTTATCACCCTGTTTTATTGTTTTGGGACAGGCCCTCAGTAGCCCAGACTGGCCTCAAACTCACCAAATTTGAAGCTGACCTTGAACTTCTGATCCTCCTGCTTCTCTACCTCCCAAGTGCTGGGACTGCAGCCATGCGCCACTTCGCCAGGCTCATAATTCTCTTTAGCAAGTTAAAAACACAGGAAACAGTTAAATCCTAATCTCAGTTAAAGGAAGAATAAAGTACGTGACGCAGGGCACCGTGAGGAAAAGAGCTATCGTATCCTAGAGATGCTATAAAAGGGCTTTTAAACATTCTTGGACTTTCCCCCTGAAGAGTGTCTAAATTCTGATTAGGCTTATCTAGGACAAACTGCATGACAAGTGAGCCTTGTCTTTGAGGTGACAGTTTCCAGTCGGAGGGAAGAAATTCGACAGCCTGCCCTACCACCTTTGACCACTAGATGTCACAACCGACTCAGTTGCGGAAACCATGGACAAGCCGGCTGCTTGGCCCCCTAGAGCGCCGGGCCGCTCTATCCCAGCACCGCGTCCCTACTTCCGCCATCACCGGGAGGGGGTGGGGCGGCAGTGGGCGGGCGGTGCGGTAGGTCTCGCGATTATTCCTCCTCGCTCTCGCTCTATTTTTTTTTTTTTTTAATTTATTTATCCTTTTGCCTAGCGACTGACAACAGACGGCTTACTGCTCTTAGGGATCCCTGAAGTGGCCGGGCCTGAGAGTGAGACCCCAGTCCTAGGCTGGGGTTCTTTCCAAACAGAGGAAACGGATCCAGAGGGGCTACAGGTAATCAGTCGGTGCTCACGCCCGGACACTACCCACCGCGTTCTTCGCTCTCCGCGCCCAGCCAACTACTCTGGATCCTTGGATCTCCAGGAAACCAATGGGATCCTGTCTTCAAAACGGGTTTCCGGAAGGGTAGAGGTGATGCTTTGGGGATTAGTGGATGGGGCTGAGACTGGAGTCGGCCTTCTCTCAGGACCATCTTTCCCTTCTCGGCTTAGAGGTGACCCAACAGGCTGAACTCTGTCTAGACTCTAAAACAAAAACCCCTGTAGTCCTGTACGGTCCCTCTACTCCCTCCCCAACATCTCCCCCACCACCACCACCACCACCACCACACACACACACACACACACACACACCAGAAGCCTCAACAGCTGTGGGAAAACTGACCAAACCCGAGACGATCGCAGTCTACCTATGCATGCTGTGCTTCCCTTGAGCGCATCTTATATTAGCTTTTGTTTACTGCTGGAAAAGGTTGGATGTCTTTTTCCTCCGCAGTTCTCTCGGCGCTCAGCCAGTGCTAGCTAAATAAGCGTTGAAGCTGGCTGGCTGCTTGCGCTGGGGTCAGGGGAAAGCTTGGGTGGGAGTGAGTGCGTCTCTGCGCGGAAGTCTTCAATGTATATCCCGTGGTAGGAGCTATGTAACGGACCTCCTTTTGCTTAGACCAAAATCGTTGAGAACCAGACTTACGATGAGCGTCTAGAGATTAACGACTCCGAAGAGGTTGCCAGTGTTAGCCCTCCAGCCCCAGGACATCAAGGTAAGAGAAGAAGAAAGAGACAAGAAGGGAGGTGGTTTTCAAAACGCTAGCACAGATTGGGTTCATGTTTGTATTCAGTAAGCTCCTAGGTTGCCGCAGTTTTCTCGCCAGTGGAGGGAGCAATCGGTTCATCAGATTGCAGAGTCTTTGACTGCAAACCCATCCGCTATCACTGTGTGCTTCATGTTACTGCGCTGTAGAGATTCTGCCACCGGTTCGCTGTGCTTTGTTGTTTTTTAGTTATTATCTTTAAACATTTTATGTGTATGAGTGTTGTCTTGTTTTTCTTTTTGCCTCCATGTGTGTCTGTGTACCACCTGCGTGCCTGGTGCCCTCAGAGGCCAGAAGAGGGCGTTGGATCCCCTTGAACTGGAGTTGCAAATGGTTGTGAGCTGCCATGTGGGTGCTGGGAATTGAACCCTGGGTCCTCTGGAAGATTAGCCAGTGCTCTTAATCATTGAGCCATCTCTCCGGCAGGGTTCACTGCTGTGTTTTTCTCTTTAATTCATTAAGATGAGTCATAACCTGCCCTTAACCTGCCACCCCAACCGTTATTGCAGCAGAGTTTTGGCAGAGGACTTGACACTATTCATTTATTCACTTACCTTTTTTCATATGTGGTTATTTTAGACGGTTTTTTGTTTGTTTGGTTTTGTTTGTTTTTTTTCCCCTCAAGACAAGGTTTCCCTGGCTGCCCTGCAACTCACTCTAGACCAGGCTGGCCTCCAGCTTAGAGATCTGCCTGCCTCTGCCTCCCCATTGCTGAGAATAAAGGCGTGCGCCACCACACCCAGCTCACCTAACATTTTGAATGCTTGCTATGTGCCATGTTAGCACTGGGTAATACAGTAGCAAACAAAAGACATGTCTGTATCCTGATGCTTGTAATGGTAGAAGACAAATGGCCAGTGTATAAACAGTCATTATTACAAATGTCATGTATGCATTGATGTAGGCAAATTGTTTACTGCTATGAAACGTAATGGTGATGGGTGAGATCTATTTGTGGCCAGGGAAGACTCAAGAGAAAAGACCACACTGTATGATGAGAGGGGTCTGATCAGAAAGGAGGAAGAGGCAAAACAAGCAGAATGCAGAATTTCAGAGGCGGTGTTGCTGTTACGTGTAGAGTTTATTGGAGGGTTCACAGATGACAATGAGGCAGCAGGTAGAAGTGCTGTGGTAGTGGCTGGGTGGAGCTGGGAATGGTTTGGACTGTGGCATAAATAGAGACATGACACAAATACAAGACAGGCTGTGGTTACAGCATCATCAGGGCTTGCTCAGATTCGGGTCCTGAGTTGGGGATCACACCATGTATATTTTACCACAATAAACAAAAACTAAGGGGCTGGAGAGATGGCTCAGAGGTTCAGAGGGCTGGCTGCTCTTCCAGAAGACCCAGGCCCAATTCCCAGCACCCACTTGGCAGCTCACAACTGTCTGTAACTCCAGTTCCGGAGGGTCTGACACCCTCACACAGACATCCATATGTAGGCAAAACACCAATGCACATAAAAATAAAAGTAAATAAATAAAAAACTGATTGTGATTGCCAACTCAGTGTTTATTATAGTAACATATACATGGTATAGAATACTATTTTAGCCCCTTTAAATGGCATTTAAAGTTAAATGGCTTTACATACATTTACATTGTCTGGTAACTGTCACCACTGCCTTAGTTACTTTTCTGTTGCTGTGATAAGACACCATGGCCAAGGCAACTTAAAGAAGAAAGAGTTTATTTGAGGCTTACAGTTTCAGGGGATTAGAGTTCATGATGACTGAGTGAAATCATGGCCATAGGAACAGCTGAGAGCTTACATCTTTAGACAGAACCGTGAGGCGGCTAACTAGGAATGGCATGGATTTTTGAAATCTCAGAGCTCATCTCCAGTGACACACCTCCAAGCAGACCACGCTTCCTGATCCTTCCCAAACAGCTCCACCAGCTGCCAACCAAGCATTGAAACATGAGCCTCTGGGAGCTGCTCGCATTCAAAACCCCACAGCTACATTTCTAGAATTCCCTCTTGGTTAAACAGTGACTTCTGCCAGGCATGGGGGTATGTGCCTTTAGTCCAGCACTGGGGAGGCCAGGTGGATCTGGCCTCACATAGTGAATTCCAGGCTAGCCAGAGCTACATAGTGAGACCCTGCCTGAGAAACAAACAAACAAACAAACAAACAAACAGATCTCTTGACTCCTTTCTCTCTGCTAACCACTACTTTGCCCCTGTGAGTTTGCCTATTAGGGGTACTTCATAGGTAAATCATTGTGTCCTTTTGTGGCTGGCTCTTGTCATGTATACATGTTTCAAGGTTTGTTTATGCTATAGCATGTATCATAATTATATTCAATTTTATGGCTGAATAATATTCTATTAATAGAGTCTATTGTGTGGATATACAACGTTTTTTTAAAAGAGATTTATTTATTATGTATACAGTATTCTGCCTGCATGCCAGAGAGGGCACCAGATTACAGATGGTTGTGAGCCACCATGTGGTTGCTGGGAATTGAACTCAGGACCTCTGGAAGAGCAGCCAGCGCTCTTAACCTCTGAGCCATCCCTCCAACCCCAATATACAACATTTTTAAATACCTTCATCTCCTGACAGACAGTTGTGTTGTTCACTTGTGGCTATTGTGAACAATGTTGATATATGTGGTGCTGTACAATTGTCTGAAAGGTCTGAATTCTTGTTTTCAGTACTTTTGAGTATATATATACTTTATTTTCCAAAATTACGGAATGCTTCATGGGTTTCCATGTGATCCTTGCACAGGGGCTGTGGGAATCTGCATCATTCCAAATTTTAGTATATGTACTGTGGAAGTGAACATGTTGATATATACTGTGGAAGTGAACATGTTGAGTATTACTTAGCCACTAGGGTTTTTACTCTGTCATGTTTGGTTGTTATGTGTTTATTTCAAAATAGGGTATTCAGTGGTGCCTAGGCTAAACTAGTACTCACTATGTATCTCAGGCTGGCCCTGAATTTGAGGTACCCTTCTTGCCTTAATCTTCAAGTGCTGTAAGCTACCACGTCCAGTGACTTGAGCAAATTTATGCTCTTGCTAGCTGTGGACTTGTTTGCAGCTGGGTAATTTAATAAGTCAAAAGTGTTGATTTGCATGTGTTTGACTTAGGGTTCATCTAATATGTTTTCATGCTGGTTAGTCTGACATCTGGTTATACTTTCAATTTCAGAATATGCTGTTATTTTTACAGATTCTCTTACTGCTCATATGCCCTGATTCAAATTCAGATTCACAACTAGCTGCTATTTGCCAGGCTCTAGGTCACTCTCTTCCAGATAGGCTTTTCACTCCATCCTGTCACTGACCCCATTTAGACAATACTGACACTTGGAGAGGGTAAGTCATTTTGTGAAAGTGATAGAGTTGTCCTCAGACCGATCCTTCTATTAACCCAACACTCTTTCACTTTATTAATCACATACCTCAGTTTACCCCGGTACAGTTCAGTTTCTAGTCGTATAATTGCAGGTAATCAGTTAGTATAACATCTAGCCCAGTGCGTAAGCAAAGGAATGTTTATAGTAATGTCTTGAATTAACAGAGCTGTGACTAGAATTCAGTATCCTGTCTTTCCTCCCAAGTTTTGTTTTATTTTATTTTATTTTTGAGACAGGGTCTCACCATGTAGCCATGGCTGGCCTGGAACTCACTATGTAGATCAAGCTGGCCATGAGCTCACAGATCCACCTGCCTCTGCCTCCTTGGACCTGGGGCTAAAACATGCCATCACACCTGGCTTGTTTTTATTTGTGTGTGTGTGTGTGTGTGTGTGTGTGTGTGTGTGTGTGTGTGTGTGCCAGAGGACAACTTCCAGAAGTCCTTTCTCTTCTTTCACTGTGAGTGCTGGGGATGGAACTCAGGTCTTCAGGTTTAAAAGGCTATGCATGGGGTTTTCCCCCATCTGAGCTATCTCATTGGCTCCCTTCATGTTCCTATAAACTTTGTTACATAAAATATTGTCACTTTAGGCTGGGCATGGTGGCTTATGTCTTTTAATCCCAGAACTCAGGAGGCAGAGGCAGGTGGATTTCTGAGTTTGAGACCAGCCTGGTCTATAAAGTGAGTTCTAGGACAGCCAGGGATACACAGAG